ATACCCAGAGAATGACGACAATCAGGACCTGCCGTCGCCCTTGCATGCAGACATAGAAGCCGAGGATGATGCAGACTTCCAGTCGCAATACTCCCTGGACGACCAATCATTCTCTGATGCATCCACGGACTCGGAGCAATCGCCGGAGGATGGCATCTCCATGCATCATCCATTCCGGCAGTCGTCCGGCTCACTGCACGGTCCGAACGCGTTTGCACCTCCATTCTACAATCGCCCTCCGACACCACTACCGCCATCTCCCTCGTTGACCTCTCTCCTTCGCCCTCCGTTCTCCACTACCACTTCGCGACCGACAACCCCCGACAGCTCGGATGTGGAAACGCCTAACGACACGGAGGCTGCTGTCGCGAAGTCGGCGCGGCGGGCAACAACAGTTCCACGGGCTAGCCCCAAGGTTCCAACGTACGAATACTACGGCTTCGTTCTGTATCTTGCGTCCTCGTTGGCCTTCTGTGAGTGCAACACCGGGCTGAGTCCAACCCAGCGCAAAGACCAAGTCTAACTAGCTCTTCATCCCCAGTGATCTACATCCTCTGGTCCTACCTTCCCTCCCCCTTCCTTCATCAACTTGGCATATACTACTATCCAAATCGATGGTGGTCACTGGCCTTCCCATCCTGGCTAGTCATGTCTATCATCTACATCTATGTCGCGCTGGCATCGTACAACACCGGCTATCTCACGTTGCCGATGAACAGCGTCGAGAACATCGTGGACGAGGTGGCCAATGTCGCGGTTATTGACGGCAAGGGTCGACGACGACCCGGGGGTGGAGCCAAGATGAGGCCCGGTGCGACCTCGTACCAGATCATGGGCCCGCAGAACCGCAAGATCAATTGGAAGGAGATCTGGAGCGAAGGTACAGATGCTGTGCTGGATGTTCCTGTGGGCGGTGTCTGTGAGGTTCTGTACGGGCAGGAAAGGGATGATGATGAGTTATGTGAGGAATTCGTTGAGTATTCATGACATGAATTGCGACGCGATTCGCCGAGATATGACTAAATGGTAGGAATGTGCCAGCTTGGATCTCAACCTGTCGCGGATGCGCTTCTCCTGACTCTTATCGTAGTGACTTCCTTCCTTATCGTCACGTGAAAGGTAGGACGATGGTTGGATCGATCACAGCCCGCTCTCCCTTTTTGTGCGTCCATACTGTCATGGTGGCGAAATGCGTAGGGTGAACGGGCCTTCTGTGTAATACCTGAATGTTTTCTGGGAAGTTCTTTGTGGCTATTGTAGAGGTAGGTATTGAGGTCTAGATGCGGCGAGACTCGCCCCTGTTGAGTGGACGGGAAAGAGTGCCATAGGGTTTTGTTTTTTTTTGGATCTATCACCGAGTTTAATGGTAGCTTAGCCCAGTACGTAGTACTTGTAGTGGACTTTAGGTAGGGTGCAAAGCAGTCCAGTCGCCAACACCACTACCCTTATCGCACTACTCCACCACAGTAGACACAGTTTGAGTCGATTGCGGCAGCTAAGCTATTGACCGCAATGAATTCAAAGAGGCTGGGAAAAGTCAATGGCCAGCCCACCACTTCTCTTTCACCACCCAGCGCTAAAAGCGGTTAAGGCCGCGTGGGCGCCTAGGGAGCCAACGACAGTTCGGGCGGCGGCGGTGGCTCTCCCCGACCTCAACTCATAAGCAGCGAGGAGAGAAACGCGCACCGGTGACCACTCAGTGACCAGCGACCGGCCAGTGACCACCATCCCAGTCCCTCTCCACACCACCATCCCGCCAATTCTCTCGGCTTAAGCTCGCATCGCTGACCCTTCTCCTTTCCTTGTCCGCTGGAAGTTCTCTCCTGCGACCGTCGATTCTCCTCCCAGCGAAACCTCGCATTGTTTGTTTTCCTAGCCATCGGTGCTGACCCGGTCTGGAACGTGGTGTCCTGCCGTTGTCGCCCCGTCATTGACCCGGTTGAACTTACCACCATCTATCTTTCAAACAGACGTGCGACCTCCCCCGAGTTCCACTGATCGGTATCGCTCCCCCTCCTCAGCAGCTCGGACCTTCCTCCCTCCGCCTGCGATCGCCGGAGCTCATATCCCGGCTCGCCTCGCCGCTTGATCGTCCGCTTCACCATTCCATTGTTGATCTCGCATGGCTTGGCAGTCTCCCTCGGCCATGGCTGGGGGTGGAGGCTTCGTCGGGCCCGGAGGTGATGGCTCCCCCAATGGCGGGCAACCCCAGGGGACAGAATACACTTTACAAGGTGAGTCGAGGCTCGAAATTTGGGCGCGGAATTTAAGGGGGGGAGCAGGCGGGACACGAATGCTAATTCTTCCCTTGTCCGTTTTGTTGTTGTGGTGTAGGTGTGATGCGCTTTCTGCAGACCGAATGGCACCGGCACGAACGAGACCGCAACGCCTGGGAGATTGAGCGTGCGGAAATGAAGTCCCGCATTGGAAAGCTAGAGGGCGATGTCCGCACAAGTAAACGCTTACATGAGTCGCTGGGGAAGCACGTCCGGTTGCTGGAGGCCGCCCTGAAGAAGGAGCGCGAGAAGGTCAAGAAGCTCAGTAACAACGAGAAGGTTGATGACACTCGAGATCCGAAGGAGATCGCTCGGGAGAGCATCAATGCATTAAAAGGTTTCTTTTTCTCTCTTCCTCCCGTTATTCTTGCTTGTCTGCTCGCCCTTCGCGATTTGCTGACTGCTTCCCCGTCTTAGCTCAACATCCTCGGCCGCAAGGTGATGTGAACGATGCGGAACACAATCCTGAGAACCACCACGAGTTTCGTCAAGAGAACGAGCGGGATAAGTCGCGGTTATATCTGTCCAAGTGCTCGCAGGAAGTTGCGTACCACGTCATTCCTTCGTCCCACCCGCCCCCCGATCTCAGCGATCAAGACCATATCTACGGCAGTCATCAGCAAATGTCACAACAGACCTTGGAGGAGGTCTACCTGCAGCAACAGCGGCAGAAACAACACCACCACCACCAGCAGCAGCAGGCGAACAACATGATGGCTCGGGAAGTGGCCCTGCAGAACCACCAGCCCATCATCACGCATTACTCGGACAACGCCGCCCTTTCTCGTGCTCCTAGCCAGTTCGGGTATACTCCTGGCTCGAGGGAGGCAATGGAGAGAAGACCCGTGGAACCGCAACAGACCCCGATGACTGCCCTGGAAAACCGGAAGCAAGGGTTCGAATCTGCCCCAATGGAAGAGCGTGCTGGCACGGAGGAGCAGGTATATAATGGATACGGTTCGCAAGTAACAACCAAGGAGGAGACCCGGCAACCCCAGCCTGTAGACGATGCAGATGGCTGGAACTTCGATGAACCTGCGGATACAGCTCCCCCTACTGAGCAAATACCGCCTCACCGCCCCGATGTCGATGCTTTCCCGAATGCCAATTTCGTCGGCGCCAAGTCTCCCGCGCGGACCGGTTCAGTCTCCCATCGCCGAAAGAGCTCCGGTGCCAGAAGGAAGAGTGAGGGTGCTGCAGATCTTGCGGCGTCGAAACCAGATACGTCCTTCAAGGTTCGCTTCGCTCTCCGAGGCCACTTGGATGTTGTCCGTTCCGTGATTTTCACGGGTGGCGGCAGCCCTTCAGAGCCTGAGATCTGTACGTGCAGCGATGATGGGACAATCAAGCGCTGGATCATCCCGGCAACCTATGGAACGTTTGGCGCCCACGGCGCCAACTCGAGCAATGATCTGGACATTACAAGCTACTTCACCCACCGCGGACATGTGGGAGCTGTGACTGCTCTAGCGGCTTGCTCGCCATCACAGAACTTCTCCAACGGCGGTCGCGCGCTTGGAGATGGGTGGGTGTTCTCCGGTGGACAGGATTCCAGCGTGCGTGTCTGGGAACGTGGAAGGGTTGATCCCAAGGCCACACTTGAAGGTCACACGGATGCAGTATGGGGCCTGTGTGTTCTTCCTGGAACCGCGGGATCTGTCTTTGGCGATTCCTGCAGTCATTACGGCGGGCCTGATCGGATCCTGCTTGCGTCAGGTGGTGCCGATGGCCGGATTGTCATCTGGGCAGTCAGCGCACCGCCTCAGCTTTCGTCACCTCAAGCAGGATCTCGACGAGCGGGAGGCAGCCGGCGAGCTAACTCTATCTCGTCCGGTTCCAACTTCCCATCGTCGCCACAGCCGAGCACCGCAACCACCACGCCGTTCCACTACACAATGGTCCGTCAGATCGTCCGCTCGGATTCCCCCTCGCCTACGTGTATCAGTCCATTGTCGCTTGCAGGTATCAACTTTGTTGTCTCCTATACAGACGCGTCGATCCTAGTCTACGATACGAGAACGGGCGAGGAAGTTGCAGGGATGGCCAGTCTAGAAACATACGACGGTACGCCCTCGACCGGTGTTAATGCGGTTGTTGCCACAACAGTTGGATTTGATGGCTCGGCTGGCCTTGACCCCAGCCGGACAATGGCGGAAGAGGAGATTGTTCACGGCGCGACTGGGTCAAGCGGTGCCGAGGGGGTGATTATTAGCGGATACGAGGACCGTTATATTCGCTTCTTCGATGCCAACAGCGGTATGTTATGTTCTGACGATGACCTTTCGCGGATACTAATTTGCACTCGTCCAGGCCAATGCACATACACTATGCTCGCTCACCCGTCAGCGATTGCCTCGCTCTCCCTGTCTCCAGATGGACGGGAGCTTGTGTCGGCAGGCCACGACGCTAGTCTGCGGTTTTGGAACCTCGAGAAGCGGAGCTGCACTCAAGAAATCACGAGTCACCGGCTGATGCGTGGTGAAGGAGTGTGTTCTGCGGTGTGGAGCCGCGACGGCCGCTGGGTAGTCAGTGGAGGAGGGGATGGGGTCGTCAAGGTCTTCTCGAGATAACGAGGGGGTTAATCTACAGCTTCCGCGATGTATGAATCCGTTTTTTTTGGTTTCCAGCTGATACTTTCTTATGGCATGTTCCTTGGACGCATGAAATGGATGAGCGATTGGCCAGTTCTTGAGCATTTGCAACGGTCTTTAATACCTGGCATATGTTCCTTTCTACTTTGTGATTATAGTTCTTATTTTCTCTCCATACCTTTTTTTTATTCGATCGGCTGCATCGCTCGCCACTTTTTCTTGCCTTTTTGCCCCTTTGGGGACATTGTGCTTCCCCATCTTGATACATTTTTCAACCAGATAACATCATGGGACTGGAATCCAGACGGCTGCAGCTTTCCGTTGCCATTGTTCAAGCATTCTACCGTGGGTTGTGGGAAGGATCCCGGATTTCTGTTACACTAAGCTTACTGATACCTCTGCCATGCATCTTGTGTATGCATCTTACCTCGCTATCGTCTACGCGAACGTCTACCTTGCTTCCTTGGGTGCTGCGTGACTTTTTTGATCCCCTCGTATGCCCAGGGGACCTGCTTTTAGGCTGTATAATGATTGCTGTGTCTACTATCCTCTTGCTCTGGTACCCTGCCCAATTCACCTGTACATTTTCTTGCCCTACATGGCTACATGTCTACTACTATTAGGACATGATACTTAAGTAGACGCAAACCGCGCCCGCTCCACTAGCTTGAGCACCAGCAATCGAGGCACATTATACACAAGAAAGAAGATTTAATATCCACATCTCCCCACATTAGATGGCATGAACAAGGGTATCATTTACCCGTCTTTCCGACCCCAGCATGAGAGAAAACCTCACTTCCTCCCTCCCTCCCACGCCTCTTTGAACAGAACCCTCAACCGCCTCGCCTCCTCCGCATCCTTGACCCTCTGCTCCAAGAACCCCTGCAAATCCTCCCAGAATGCCTCCGTCTTCACCACCTCCTCCCCACTCGGCCCGACCGCCGGCTTGCTGACCGGCTCCGCAGCCGTGGTATCCTCCTCACCCCGCTGGCCCTCCGCTTCCCCCTGCGCTTCACCCTCAGCTGGAACAACCCGCCCACCCCCCAGCACCATAACCGCAACCTCAACCTCCTTCCCACCCGCCAGCAACGCCGGCTCCTCGCCCAACATCTCCGCCAACGTCTTATTCCCCGTGACGGGCTTCTTCCGGTGGAGGATCTTGATCTTCTCGAGGGCGGGTTTTGCGTCGGTGGCATCGACGACCCGCGCCCGCACCGCGTCCTTCAGGTCGGTCACGGTCGTCGTGGATAAGGGCATGTTGGGCAGGGTGAGTTCCAGCGCCGGGTTGCGGGCGGACTTGAGGACGACGGTGATGGATTTCGAGGAGCCGGGGGCGGCTGCGGCGCTTGGGGTTTTCTTGGGCATTGTTGGGCGTGGCGGTTGGAGGCGGGGGAGAAGGTGCTTTACCCTTGATGTTAGATTGGGGGTTGGGGTTATGGGGGGTGGGACGACGTACTGGTATGCGGGCGTTGGGGTCGTCGTGGACATAGTCGGCTCGGAGCTTGATGGGTCGGTTGTCCAGGGCGGAGAGGAAGGCTTTGGCGAAGGAGATTTCGGAGGCCATTTTGGTTGCTTCCCTGGGGGACGATGCAACTTCTACTAGGCAGTGGGTTGTACTGTGTGTTTGGGGGAAGAGAGAGACGGAAAAGAGAAGATGATGAGGTGGGGGGTAGATATGATGTCGCTGGATGGGAAGGAATTACCCGATCGGGGTCGGAGGATGTTGTTGATGCTGGCCTGGCCGCAGATTGCGCTTCTGCCTCAGGCAGATTTCAAAGGCGGTGGGCGCACCGCACTGCTGCCTCAGACCGCCCGCGGGAAAAAATGTACCGCAAAGGAAAAGAAAAAAAAGTTTAGATCTTTCCCCGAGTTGATCAGACAGGAACCCGACTTGTCAAAACTCTTTCCTCTCTGTTTTTGTCACAGTCCTTATTCACAATGGGTCGGGGAAATCGCATGAAGAAGCAGGGTCCTCCTGCCCCGCTGGATGAGTCCAAGATCACAATTTACAAGAAGCGCAAGGCCGCTGAACCTCAGAGCAAGCCCGCCGAGTCGGGCAAGAAGCGGAGAAGAGCTGCCGCTGAGGAGGAAGAGGAGGAAACCGTCAAGCCTGTCGCCAAGAAGAAGGCCAATGGTGCTGTGAACGGCAAGGCCACGAAGGTGGAGGCTAAGGCTAAGACTCAGGCCAAGGGCAAGGAGCAGAAGAAGCCCGCCGCGGCTAAGAAGTCGAGTTTCATGGATTCGGACGACGAGGCGGAGGATGATGATGATGATGAGGATGCGTGGTCCGACCTGGACGATGAGGAGATGCAGGACGACGAGTTCGGCGACCTCGATGCCGTGAGCGACGACGAGATGGCCTCCGATGATGATGACTCGGTTGTCGACTCCGAGGACGACGACCACCCCCGCGAAGCCATGTTCTCGGACGATGAAGACCTTTCCGACGCAGAGGAGCGGCTGACGGCTGCCAACATCGAGGGTCTGTCCCGGAAGTTGGATATGGCGAGACAGGAGGAGGAGGAAGAGGCCGAGCTCGAGTTGCAGGAATCCGCCATGCAGACCAACATCGCGGGAGACCGTCCCGACGTGTTCGCCGACGACGTCGGCCAGCCCGGTCTGGCCCCCGACCTCCAGCTGCTCCGCACGAGAATCACCGACACCATCCGTATCCTGGGCGACCTGAAGACCCTCGGCCAGCCCGGCAAGTCGCGAACCGACTACGTCAACCTGCTCCTCGGCGACATCTGCACCTACTACGGCTACACGCCCTACCTTGCTGAGAAGCTCTTCAACCTCTTCACTCCCATGGAGGCGTTCGCCTTCTTTGAAGCCAACGAAACCCCGCGTCCTGTTGTCATCCGTACGAACACCCTGCGCACCAACCGCCGGTCGTTGGCCCAGGCTTTGATCAACCGTGGTGTGGTCCTCGAGCCTGTCGGAAAGTGGTCCAAGGTTGGTCTGCAGGTCTTCGAGTCTGCCGTTCCCCTGGGTGCTACTCCTGAGTACCTGGCCGGTCACTACATTCTCCAAGCCGCCTCCTCCTTCCTTCCCGTTATGGCCTTGGCCCCGCAACCCAACGAGCGTGTTCTCGATATGGCCTCCGCCCCCGGTGGTAAGACCACTTACATCTCGGCTCTGATGCGTAACACTGGTACCGTCATCGCCAACGATGCCAGCAAGCCCCGTGCCAAGGGTCTGATTGGTAACATCCACCGTCTCGGCTGCAAGAACACCATCGTGACCAACATGGATGCCCGCACTGCCTTCCCCAAGGCCATGGGTGGCTTCGACCGTGTCCTTCTCGATGCCCCCTGTACCGGTACCGGCGTTATCTCCAAGGATCCCAGCGTCAAGACCTCCAAGAACGAGCGCGACTTCCTTGCCATTCCCCACATGCAACGCCAGCTGCTTCTGGCCGCCATCGACTCCGTCGACCACAACTCCAAGACGGGAGGCTACGTTGTCTACTCGACCTGTAGTGTTACCGTGGAGGAGAACGAGGCGGTGGTCAACTACATTTTGCGCAAGCGCCCCAACGTCAAGCTCGTTGACACTGGCCTGGGTGACTTCGGTAGCCCCGGTATGACCAACTACATGGGCAAGCACTTCGACGCCAAGATGACCTTGACCCGCCGGTACTTTCCCCACCGTGAGAACGTCGACGGTTTCTTCGTTTGCAAGCTCAAGAAGACCGGCCCGTCCCCGACCGCCAAGTCCAGCGACGCTGCCGCCGCCTCGACCACCAAGTCCGACCGCAAGGCCTCCAAGTCCCCGTCCGCTCCCTCCACCGATGACGAGAGCATCGACAAGACCCCGATCGTCGACGAAGACGGCATGGTTCTGGAGATGGAGGGTGGATCGTTCGGTCCATTCGAGGAAGACGACCAGGACGCCGAGCGCATTGCCCGCGCGGAGCGCAACCGCCTGCGTCGCAAGGGTCTCAACCCCAAGGCCGTGAAGCCCGCCAAATCCTCCTCCTCCAAGCCCAAGAGCGACTCCGAGTCTGAGAAGCCCGCCGTGGAGGCCTCCCCGAAGACGGACAAGAAGAAGACCGATGCAGACACCAAGGCCAAGAAGGATGAGCCCACTTCGTCCCCGGCCGCCAAGAAGCCCGCGAAGAAGACCAAGACGCAAGAATCCACCCCCTCCGCCGCTCCCGCCACCTCTACTACTCCTCCCTCCGACAAGAAGAAGAGCGCCGCGAAGAAGCAGGCCGATAATAAGAGCGGAAAGGCCAAGAAGCCCGCCAAGAAATAAAGGGTTGGCGGTAGTCGGGTGTGCATCTGATTCTTGTATGTATTGTCTGGTTTGAACCAAAAGCATTCGTCTTGTGTTTGGTATGGGTGGCGCATTCTTGTGATTTTAGTGTTTTTGAAATGGATAGATAGCTTCGGTTTGAAGTTCGTCAATAGATACCATTATGTTTGTGCAGCCGAGTCTGGACCACACTGTATATGTGGTAGGGTTAGAGTGTAGCTGGATGGTGTCAATGAATAATCGACGGAGTCGTACTCAATTGAGCATAGACAGAGTGTCTGGCTCATTTCCGGGTCAAGCATGTTTTCGTTGGGGAGGTCTGGTTCATAGCGCCGCAAAAATAGCTTTGAAGCAGCCATACCACCAGATCTAGAAGCAAGTCTTGACGTTGAGGCTTGCCCTATGCTTTATCTCTAACAAACCCACCCTCAAGCAGATATCCTACATGTACATCCCACACCCCACACCCCACACCCCCTGCTCTCCCCAGTCTCATAACTACTACTTCTATACCCCATCTACTACTTCAATCAAGCCAAATACCAACCAAAACCACCTCAATCCATTCAACCTACATAACAACCCAACCCAACCCCACCGCAACAGACACCCCACTCAAAACCGACCTATCTGCTTCTCTTCTCCATCCAAAGCCCCTCACACGCACACAAACAAAACACCGCCAAAACAAAAGATGAACCTCTTCTTAGCCTCCCCCCCCCGTCTCGACGACCTACCTCGCCCTCCTCACCACCCTCATACCCCAAAGCGAAGCCTGCTACACCGGCGACCACAACAACTGCATCTGGGAAGGCAGCGCGCCGGCGTGCGGCACCAGCCCGGACCACGTGGGCACCGGGCACCGAGGACGCCCAGGGCCGCACCTTCGTCGCCACCCCCGAGTGCGGCAACGCCCGGTATTTTTGCGACTGGGAGCGCGGGCAGCCGCGCGGCGGGGACCGCTGCCCGGCGTACGGGAATGGGTGCTGGAGTGGGTATAAGCGGTTGTGGTGTGCGGATCGAAAGTGCTAGTTTACTCCGTGGGGAGTTTGGGGGGAGGGTTGGTTGTTGTGTTGGTCTTTGGTTGTTTGCGCTGGGTAGGCTGAATGGAGTCAATTGGAGGTACTAGGTCGGAATGGATAACTGCAGGGAGGTTGGATTTGTATTTGGCTGGTACTGGGATGATTGCAGTGATTTAATGGGGGTTCTTGCAGCTGTTGTATGTCAAGGTGTATCGAGTTGGAATGCACTACTGAGCCTCGAACGCATACTTATACAAACAAGTGAGTATATGAGCAATTTGTCTTCAATTAAAAGCAATCTGTCTTAGATTCAGAGCGTTTATAGACAAGGACAACCATCTTGAAACTTTGCTATGCATCAATCAATCAAATCAACTTTCAAAAAGCAGGCAGCAGCAGGTATCTAACGGAAAGCACCACGCTATCTAAACATCCTCTCATATATCCACAGCGTCTAAACCAATCAACACCAGGTCACTCCATTCTGTACCTTCCAGGATATTCCAGTCCCCCCAAATGCAATTTCACAAAAAAAAAGAAAAAAAAAAAAAAAACTCAAGACCAAATCAAGTCCGGTAAATCTTCACCACGCTGATGATGCTCTTCCGACAGATCGGGCAGAGATCCACTTGGCGAGCACACGTTACGCACGCGCAGACATGCCCACAGTCATAGAACAGGGCATCCTGCTCTTCGCCATAGCAGATCTGACACAGATCCATCTCCTCATCCGCCACTTCCCAATAGCTGATACCTTTGCCGTGGCGCTTGCCGTCCTTGTAGCCACCTACGTACTTGTTTCCGGTCTTGCGCTCAACAAAGGTACCCTGGCCATGGCAGACACCCTCGAACCAGTCGCCTTCATAGGTATCGCCAATCGGGTATTCCATATAGCCGTTGCCGTGGCGCTTGCCGAGGACGAAATCGCCCACGTACGTGGCAGCAAGGTCGGAGACGTGCGTGCCCTTGCCATGGAAGTAGCCCTTCATGAATTCACCGCTGTAGTACTCGCTGGTGAACGTGGCCCGGAGGGTCTTCGTGCCCGTGTGGGCCCGAGTAGGATGTCTGCGCGACGCGGCCCAAAGATAGCGGACAAGTTGGTCAGGGTTGGCGAACATGCCCTCAATGTTAAGCTTCAGACGGCGGTCCTTGTTAACCTTATCCCCAACGATAAAGCAGGTACCGTCGGGCACGAAAGTCTCGAACGTCTCACCGGAAGCCATGGTGGTCACGTTGGTACCATCCACACGCTGCCAAACCTGAAAGTCCTTCATTGGCGCCCACTTGAGATGCTTACGGATAGCGGCCTTGATGTTCTCTTCCTTCTTCGAGAAGAAAGAGCCCACAGTCCGTAGAATTTGCGCCTCAATGTCGAAAACTTGGATGAAGTAGTAGACGTGCTCCACCGGTTGAGG